CCACTGATGTGACGATAGAGAACAATCTGTCCCGTGTCATCACTGCGGTGTCTCATGCATTGACCTCGTCTACCTCCAGAGCACTTATAGTGAGTGATGGCAGGGTTTTTAAAAACAATTTGCATGCTGTCTCTTCAGTAGTTTTGTGAGCCTGATCCATTTTAATACCTTACATTGCTGTTGTTGGTAATGGTGGTTGATGGATAAGCATATTGATGTGACATTGATCTCAAATTTTGGGTGGATTGATTATTATCTATCTTTAAAATAATAGACAGAGTTAAATCCTTCAATTTATTATGTTTTCAATCACAAGTCCTGTCAATGAAGATTTTTAGATGCGCTTACAGGGCATGGCCAGCAGCCATTTTATTTTGGAACCTGCAATGTGATTTCATGGTCATTAGAGGGTTAATGCATGAGTTTGGGCCTTTCTTTCCATTTAAAAAAAAAATTAACTTGCATGATTTGGGACAGCCCAGGCTACCCTTTGCTACCCATCCCTAATTGCCCTTGAGAAGGTGATGGTGGTGGTGAGTCGATATCTTGCATTGTTCAAGTTAACGTGATATTGGGACACCACAGTGCTGTTAGGTTGGAAGTTATGCAGTGAAGAAATAGTGATATGTTCCACATCAGGATGGTGGAGTTGTTGGGAGTCCCATGCATTTGCTGCCTTTGTGCTTCACAGTGGTAGAGGTCACATGTTTGGAAACAATTGCCAGGGGAGCTCTGGTGAGTTTTTTTAATTCATTGGATGTCAGTGGCGTCAGTGACTGGACCAGCATTTATTGCCCATCCTTAGTTGCCCTTGAACTGAGTAGGCTGTTTCAAAGAGCAGTCAAGAGTCAGCAACATTATTTAAAATCTGGAGTCGCGTGTAGGCCAGACCCCACAAAGATGGCAGGTTTCCTTCCCTAAACTGGGTTTTTCCAACAATTGACATCATTAGACATTTAATTCCAGGCTTTAACTTTACTGAATTCAAATTCCACTATCTGCATGGCGCATTCGAACCTGTCCCCGGATCCTTACGTGGGTCTCTGGTTCACTAGTCTAGCAACAATGCCACTATGTCATTACCTCCACTGCAGTTACGGTACTGCATTTTGTCAATGTACAAGCTGCAATCACTATGCGTTGATGATGAAGCAAGTGAATGGTGAAGATGATGGATGGGGTGCCAATCAAGAGGGCAGCTTCATCCTGGATGATGTTTAGCTTCTTGAGGGTTGTTGGAGCTGCCCTCATCCAGGCAAGAGGGTAGTATTTAATTGCATTCCTGACTTGTGCCTAGTGGATAATGAACAAGCACCAGGGGATGAAAACCTTCCACCGCCAAGAACTGTTGGACTCTGGGAGTGCCAACAGCACTTCCTTCACAGCTGCCCAGTAGGAGATGTGGCTGCTGTTTATGTAATCGGCAGAGTATCCCCAGAATGAAGATAAGATTGTAGGGCTGGGATTTGTTCCTGATGAAGTGAGGGTGCAGGATACTGTTCAGGAGCTATGTGAGTACATGACCTTATTGGGCAGCTGCATATGACCAGCACAGTCATGCAAAGAGGGGTCATGTGACTTGAGGTTTTGTGTTGCTGCTGTGCAAGGTCCCACTTTAGGAATTTATGATTTACTGTCACCTCTCCACTTAACCCTTCCCTTTAACCAACACGCTTCCTGTAATTGACTGTTTCCTCCTTTTGGGGCTGTGTTTTGATACCTGTTGTCTTGCTTGCAGCTTGGTTGCTGTGAAGCTTTGTCTTTGCTCTCCTTGAACTATCCTGTGTGTAACTGGTGCATCGGTTGGCACTGTGGGTATACGACCAACAGCTCTCAAGCATCCAGAAGCCATCTGTACAAGAACAGGGGGCGTTCGTTCAGGTATGGGACAGAATTCAGCCTTGTCATAAAATTATCTCATGTCATTCATAACTGTTGGACCTTGTCACTTTTCTATCTCTAAGCTATCAAATGCCTAAAGCTGGGTCCTTGAAGTTATGCATAGGATTACTGTCCTAATGCTTCACGTGCTTACAAATGTAAGAAATAGAAGCAGTAGTGGACTGTAGGACCCTTTTGAATCTACTCATTTTCATTGTAGCTGATCTTCAGCCTCATCTTCAACTTCACGCCCCCTCTCCGTATCCCTGGTTTCTCTAACAGATCAGAAACAAGTCCACCCCAGCATCAATTTGTCTAAAGTTCATCTGCACACGGTTTTTTAAGGAGAAACTAACCATTAAAACATACAGATCAAGTCTTCCGCTAAAACAGTAGTAAAAGATCTTTATGAACCTGTTAAGTGCATGTACTGAGAACAACTGAAGTTCACAGAACAGATGTAGGATGTGTGCTTGCCAACCTTTTGCTACAGCAGTTCAAATCTCCCATTACCTGTACTGTCTTCCCTTTGTGTCTCTTTCCAATATATATCCACTTTTCCTCTAAAATATTCTTGATTTTCTCAAAATGTGAAAAAGAAATCAGCAATAAAAAAGGCAAGAGCCTGTTTCAAACCAACAGCTGACTTGATATCTGTAAAACCGATTTTAGTATTGAAGTATATTTAAGCTGTCAGAGTTTAACATGAATCAGGCAACTCGGCTGTTTTGCTAATTCAAGAAAAGGTTATAATTGTAAAAATGAACCTGTAGAATCAACTGCAAATAATCCTTCTGTCCCTTTCTTTATTTTGTCCACTACTCTGCTAATTTTAAAACTTGACCTTCATGCAAGAGGAACATTGACAATCTTTGTGCCATAGTTGAACCAAACATCAAAGGCCTTGAGGGTAACACAAAAATAATCCTTTACGTGAGCCTGTCAGGACAAATTTGAATGATGCTTTGTTGTGAGTTTCTTTATAATTCTTAGTGTCTGGGGTTCAATTGAGATTGTACCATTTGCAAGTGTACATAGTCTTCAGTACAAAAGTCAATATTATGTTTAGTAAAGATGCCAACATTACATATACTACTTCTCCTTGTTTTATTAGTACAGTCATGTCCCCTCAAAGCATCCACACTCAAAATGAGCTGTCAGTAATGCTGGTCAAAATGTGATAATCATGAACCATTTGCATTAAGACCAATTTCAGAGTTTTCTGATTATTGAATCTTAGGTATTCCATTAATTTCAGGCAGAAACAGCTGTAATTACTCAGTAATTCACTGCTTGTTAAGAACAGAAAACAAGAACAAGTACAAGTAAACACGTAATAAAAAGAAACAAAGAGCTGCAGATGATAGAAATGAGAAACAAAATCACAGTGCCGGGAAAACTTCTATCAGGTCTGGCAGCATCTGTAGAAAGAAAGCAGAGTTCATGTTTCAGGTCCAGTGACCTGAATATCTTTATTGTTAAATGTTCAGCTAAGTACTCTGGCCTCTCTAATTCAGTGTTAGTTTATAGTTTATACTGACTGTAGCTGCATCCCCTACCTAACTCACAGGCGTACCAAGTTTAAAGGTGAAACTGCTTAAATGTGCATGCACAAATTTAAACGGGACATAATGCCTGTGTGCGGTGTTATTACGTATAGTCATAGAGATATACAGTACAGACACAGACCTTTCGGTCCAACTCGTCCGTGCTGATAAGATATCCAAAATAAATCTAGTCCCATTTACCAGCATTTGGCCGTATTCCTGTAAATCCTTCTTATTCCAATACCCATCCAGATGCCTTTCAAATGTTGTAATTGTAACTGTACCAGCCTCCACCACTTCTCCTGGCAGCTCATTCCATACAAGCACCACCCTTTGCTTGAAAAAGTTGCTCCTTTGGTCCTTTTTAAATCTTTCCTCTCTCACCTTAAACCTACGCCCTCTAGTTTTGGACTCCCCCACCATGGGGATTTACTGTATCCATGTCCCTCATGATTTTACAAACCTCTAAGGTTGCCCCTCAGTCTCTGACACTCTAGGGCAAATAGCCCCAGCCTATTCAGCCTCCCTATAGCTCAAACTCTCCAACCCTGGCAACATCCTTGTAAATCTTTTCTGAACGGTTTCTAGGTTCACAACATCCTTTCTATAGCAGGGAGACCAGAATTGCTCTCAGTATTCCAATAGTGGCCTAACCAATCTCCTGTACAGCTGCAACGTGGCCTCATAACTTCTTTACTCAATGCACTGACTAATAAAGGCAAATGTACCTAATGCGTTCTTCACTATCCTATCTACCTGTGACTCCACTTTCAAGGAACTGTGAACCTGCACTCCAAGGTCTTTGTTCAGCAACAATCCCCAGGCCAAAGTTGCAGGTCGTAGTGAAGTTGGAAACTGAGTAAAAGATTATTTTTTGGAGTACTATGTACCGTTCTGGTCTCCCTGTTATAGCAAGAATATTATTAAATTGAAGAGGGTTCAGAAAAGATTTACCAGAATGTTGCCAGGACTGAAGGGTTTGAGTTACAGGGAGAGGTTGGATAGACTGGTACTTATTTCACTGGAGCGTAGGAGGTTGAGGAGTGACTTTATAGAGGTTTATAAAATCATGAGGGGCATAGAAAAGGTGAATAGCAAAGGCCTTCTCCCCAAGGTAAAGGAATTCAAAACTAGCGGGTGTATTTTTAAGGTGAGAGGAGAAAGATTTAAAAGGGACCGGAGGGATAACTTTTTCCACACAGAGGGTGGTTCATACGTGGAATGAACTGCCAGAGGAAGTGGTCGATGCAGGTACAGTTGCAACATTTAAACAGGTAAATGAATCGGAAAGGTTTAGAGGGGTACGGGCCAAATGGAGACAAATGGGACTAGAGTAGTTTGGAAAACTTGGTCGGCATGGATGAGTTGGATCGAAGGGTGTGCTTCCATGCTGTATGAGTCGGTGACTCTATATGGCAGTGTGCTAGTATAGTACTCCCCATGTAGTACCTGACCATGGCATGCATAGAACCATAGAAATGATATAGCATAGAAGAGGGCCATTTGGCCCATCTTATCCATGCTGACTCAAAGACACCCAGATGCCCTTTCTAATCCCATCTTCCTGCACATGGCCCAAAGCCCTGCAGCTTATAGCATTGAAGGTATTTTTTGAAAGAGTATAGCATCTCTGCCTAAACCATCAACTCAAGCAGCGAATTCCAGATGCTCACCACCCTCTACTTTAAAAAAAATCTCCTCCAATCCTTCAGTCACTTTGTGTGAATCTATGACCCCTAGTTTTATAATTCTTTGCCCAGGAAAACCAGATTCTTCCTGTCTACTCTATCTTTAACCTCACAATTTTTTGTATTCCTCAATCATGTAGCTGTCAGCTTTCTCTGTTCCAAGGAAAACTGCCCCAATCTCTCCTCGTAGCTACAGTTCTCCGGCCCTGGCAACATTCTAGTAAATTGTCTTTGCATTCTCCAAAGCACTACGCTATCCTCTACGCGACCAATTGTTGGGTCGTCTGCAAGTTTCCCAGTTATGCCCCTCTATGTTCAAGTCCATATTGTTAATGTATAAAACAAACAGCACGGATCTGAACACCCCAAGCTCTGTGGAACACCAATTGAAACAGAACAGACAGACCTAGGGTTGCAGGTATATAATTCTTCAAAATTTGCGTCACATATAGACAGGATAATTAAAAAGGCGCTTGGCACACTTGCCTTCATTGCTCAGTCCTTTGAGTGTAGGAGTTGGGACGTTATGTTGTTTGTATCGGACATTAATAAATCCTCTTCTGGAATACTGGGTCCAGTTCTGGTTGCCCAGTTATAGGAAGGACATTGTTTAAGTAGGAGAGAGTTCAGAAGAGATTTACCAGGATGTTGCTGGGTATGCAAGGTTTAAGTTATAAGGAAAGGCTGGATAGGCTGCGACTTCTTTCTATGGACCATAGGTTGAGAGGTGACCTGATAGAAGTTTGTAAAATAATGAGAGATATAGATAGAGTTGTCTTTTTTCTAAGATGGGGAATTTCAAGACTAGGGGGCAGATCTTCAAGGTGCGCAGAGAGAGATTTAAAAAAGACAAATTTTTTACATAGGGTGGTTCGCGTGTGGAATGAACTTCCTGATGAATTGGTGGATGCGAGTACACTTACAACGGTAAAAGACATTTGGATGGATATAAGAATAGGAAAGGTTTGGAGGGATATGGGTCAACTGCAGGCAGGTGGCACTAGTTTAGTTTGGGATTATGTTTGGCACGGACTCGTTGGACCGAAGGGTCTGTTCCCATGCTGTATGGCTCTGACTATGCTAGGGCAGCCATCAACTATATCCTTTAATTTCTATTCCTCAACCAACTTTAGATCCAATTCTGTGCATTACCCTGTATCCCATGGGCTTTTACTTTCTTAACCAGTCTGCCATGTGTGACTTTGTCAAATGCCTTTCTAAAATCCATGTCGACGACATCCACTGAACTGTCTTTATCAATCCTCCTTGTCACTGTTTCAAAGAATTCAATCAAATTTGTAAGGCATGATATCCCTTATAGCCATACTGACTATCCTTGACTAGTCCACATTTTTCTAACTGATAGGATAAACTAACAATTTGCCCACCACCGAAGTAAGACTTATTGGCCTATAATTGTTTGGCATTTTCTTTTGTACCTTTTTAAAGCAATGGAACCACATTTGCATTCACCTGTCTAGTGAAGACTGAAAAATAATCCTTAGCATCTGCTATTTCCTCCCCTGACCACCTTCAACATCTTAGGGAACAATCAATCCATTCCTGGTGACTTATTCATTCCTTTAACCTGGTTTCTGATCTAGCAATGACGTTGTACTGCCATGTGTCAATCTGTGCCCTTAGATCATCTGCCTTGTTTGTAATAATACTGGCATTGAGGTATAAACAGCTTAGCCCCATCAATTTCCTTTGGATGTTTTTAATCCTCTTTTCTTTTGTCTTTCTGAGCCATTGACTACATCACTAACTAATATTTTACCTCCCCATTTCTGATCTAATTCTGATCCATCTAAACCTATACTTTGGTTTCCATTCCCCTGCCATACTAGTTTAAAACCTCACCAACAGAACTAGCAAATGGCCCCACAAGGATATTTGCCCAGATGCAACCTGCCAGCCTTGTGCAGTTTCCATCTTCTCCAGAAGCTGTCCCAATGCCTCAAGTATCTAAATCCCTCCCTGGTACACCATTTCTTCAGCCACACATTCATCTGATCTATCTTCTTGTTCCTACTCTGGCTAGCACATGGCACTGGGCGTAATCCTTAGATTGTGACATTTTGAGGGCCTACATTTTAATTTATCTCCTAACTTCCTATATTCAAGCTTACAGGTCCTCACCCCTTTGTTTACGTATGTGTACCATGACCACTGGCTGTTCACCCTCCCGCTCCAGAATATTCTGCAGCTATTCTGAGACATCCCTGACCTTGGCTCAAGGAAGGCAGCATACCATCCTAGATTCCTGTCTGCAGCTGCCTGTACCCCTTACTGTTGAATCCTCTATCGCTATTGCTGTAGTGCCTCGTTCTCCTCCCCTTCTGTGCACCAAAGCCACCCTTTGGTACCATTAACTTGGCTGATGCTGCTTTCTCCTGAGGCCAATCCCCTGCAACAGTAACCAAACATTCCCCTCAGCAGTTTGAAAGGGGGTCTCCTCCACTTCCTTCCTGAGTCTTTTACTTTGTCTGATGGTCACCCATTCTCTTTCTGTCTGTGTCATCCTTGCCTGCAGCGTGACAATCCCGACAAATGTGCTCTCTGCAACATTCTCAACAGCATAGATGCTCCACAGTTAGACCACCTGCAGCTCCAGCTCCAGCTCCAAAAAACAGTGAGCCAGCAGCTACAGCTGGACACACTTCTTGTACACATAGTCACCATGGACATTGAAAGTCGCACTTACTTCCTACATTGCAAAAGAGGAACATACCATGGGTGTGAGGCCTACTGTCATGACTTCTCTCTACATTAAGCTAGTTACTCCCTTTAAGAGAATTTAAAGAAGCTAGGGACCTTCCTTTGTTTCAAACACTTCTGTTATAATTGAAAGCCCCTACCTTTATTTTGACTACTATGTTATAATTTAAAACCTGTAAGAAAATACACTGCAGGTATCACTGCCCAATTGGCTGTTTCCATTGGGACCGTGTCACTTTCTGAACCGTCCAGATTGAGACTGAGCACCGTGCTGAGACTTTTAGCTTCACCTACTCCCTGTCTCATCTAGCTCCCTTTTTTGACCCAGCTCCAAAGCACTCTTGTTTTGCCAATCATCCCTGACTGTGCTTGGTCAATCCTATGAATGTATACAGTGCCAATGATTGAAATCTGAGTCTAATAGATTCCAGTTTTTGTTAGACTTGGTATGTGCTGCTATTTCTTAAACGGCAGGTTAACAACATCTTATTCTTTGACTTCTAGTTTATCACAGAACAGTCCGACGGATGAACCCCGTAAAAACTGTACTGTGGGGATGGTCAATATGATACTGTCTCTGCTTTCCTCGGCCTGGTTTCCTTTGGACCTTTCCTCCCATCAAGATGCCTTAGTGTTGTCCGGAAACCTGCTGGCAGGTAAGTAGAAACTGAAAGAACTGCGGATGCTGTAAATCAGGAACAAAAACAGAAGTTGCTGGAAAATCTCAGCAGGTCTGGCAGCATCTGTGAAGAAGCAAAAAAAAGTTAACGTTTTGGGTCCGGTGACCCTTAAGGGAAACCGGACCTGAAACATTAACACTGATTATTTTTTTCTTCACAGATGCTGCAGACCTGCTGAGCTTTTCTAGCAACTTCTGTTTTTTGTTGGCAGGCAAGTAGACTTGTTTCTCCATTTCTGTTTGAGGTTCTTAGTTGCTTACCAGCATACTTACTGCAGGTTGCCTTTTTTTTTCACACTCTCTTGAAAGGAAATAGTTGTGTAGAATTTTATTTTGTTAATTTTCTCTTTGGTTCTGTTGAAGATGATGAGTTGCATTGCACGGGCTTGAGTGAAGGACCTCACGTTGCAATCCAAACAACGAAGCCAGGGTTATGATCATGGTAGATGGAAGATAATGTGGGAATACGTGAGCTTATGCACTTTGGCAGGAAGAATAGAGAAGCTGAATATTTTTAAATGGAGAAAGATTGCAGATAGCTGCAGTGCAGAGTGATTTGGGAAACCACAAGCATGAATCTCAAAAAACTACCATACAAGTTTAGCACGTAATAGGGAAGGCAGATAGAACGCTGGCCTTTTACTTCAAAGGAAATGGAGTATGTTAATAGGGAAATCTTGCTACAACTACACAAAACATTAGTTAGACCACATCTAGAATACAGTGAGCAGTTTTGGTTCCCTTATACAAGGATTGTTATACAGGTGTTGGAGGCAGTCCAGGAAAGATAAACTAAGTTGATCCTAAATATGACAGATTTTCTTATGAGAACAGGTTGACTGGCTATGGTCCGCACCCATTGGAGTCATGAAGAATGAGAAACAACCTCATTAAAACTAAGAATATTCTTTGGGGGCTTGACAGGGTTGATGTTGAGCAGTAGTTGCCCAGTGGGAGGAAAGTTGAGGACCATCTTGCATAATCTCAGTAGGGGGTCACCCAGTTAGGATGGAAATAGAAGGATTTTTTTTCCTCCAAGAACATAAGATATGGGAGCAGAATTAGGCCATTCAGCCCATCAATTCTGCCATTTGATCATGACTGACACATTTCTCAACCCCATTCTCCTGCCTTCTCCCTGTAACCTTTGATCGCCTCACTGATCAAAAACCTATCCATCTCTGTCTTAAATACACTCAATGACTTGGCCTCCACAGCCCTCTGCTGCAATGAGTTCCACAGATGCATCACGCTCTGGCTGAAGAAATTTCTCCTTATCTCAGTTGTAAAAGGTCGTCCCTTCACTCTGAGGCTGTGTCCTTGGGTCCTAGTCTCTCCTAGTGGAAACATCTTCTCCACATCCACTGTATTGAGACCTCTCACTATTCAGTATATATCTCCCTTCATCCTTCCAAACTCCACTGAATACAGATCCAGATTCTGCAACTGCTCCTCGTATGTCAAGCCCTTCGTTTCCAGGATCATTCTTGTGAACTTCCTTGGGACTTCCTCTGAGGCCCATATATCCTTTCTTATATATGGGCCCCAGAACTACTCGCAGTATTCAAAATGCGGTCTGACTAGACATTTTATAGCTTCAGCAGTACATCTCTTCTCTAGTATGCTGGCCCCCTCGAAATTAATGCTAACATTGCATTTGCCTTTCTAACTGCCAACTAAATCTGCATGTTAACGTTAGGAGAATCCAGAACTCCTCAGTCCCTTTGTGCTTTAGATTTCTGAAGCCTTACCCATGTAAAAACAATCTGTGTGGGTAGTCATTCTGTGGAATTTGTTACCACAGAAGGCTGTGGAGGCTGGGTTATCAGTATATTACAAGCTGAAATAAATTTCTAATCTGCAAGGCAACCAAGGGTTATTGGGGAAAAGCAGGAAAGTGGAGTTAAGGATTATCAGATCAGCAGTGATCTCACTGAATAGCAGAGCAGGTTCAATGGACTGAACCTTGGACATAGAGCAGTTTTTCCGCCGCCTCCGCCTCCACGCTTACTTCTTTAACCGTGAACCTAACCCTCCCTCTACTGACCCCTTCTCCCGCTTCCAACACACCCCCTCCTCCTGGACACCACCCCAAGGCCTCCTACCCTCCCTCGACCTCTTCATCTCCAACTGCCGTCGAGACATCAATCGCCTCAACCTCTCCACCCCTCTCACCCACTCCAACCTCTCCCCCGCAGAACGTGCAGCCCTCCGCTCCCTCCGCTCCAATCCCAACCTCACCATAAAACCCGCGGACAAGGGAGGTGCAGTTGTAGTATGGCGCACTGACCTCTACATCGCCGAGGCCGGACGCCAACTCTCCGACACCTCCTCCTACCGCCCCCTTGATCATGACCCCACCCCTGAGCACCAAACCATCATCTCGCAAACCATCCACAACCTCATCACCTCAGGTGACCTCCCACCCACGGCCTCCAACCTCATCGTTCCCCAACCTCGCACTGCCCGCTTCTATCTCCTTCCCAAAATCCACAAACCTGAATGCCCTGGTCGACCCATTGTCTCCGCCTGCTCCTGCCCCACCGAACTGATCTCCAACTATCTCGACTCCATTTTCTCCCCCTTGGTCCAGGAACTCCCTACCTATGTCCGTGACACCACCCACGCCCTCCACCTCCTCCAGAACTTCCAATTCCCCGGTCCCCAACACCTCATCTTTACCATGGACGTCCAGTCCCTCTACACCTGCATTCCCCATGCAGATGGCCTTAAGGCCCTCCGCTTCTTCCTGTCCCGCAGGCCCGACCAGTCCCCCTCCACTGACACCCTCATCCGCTTAGCCGAACTCGTCCTCACACTCAACAACTTCTCTTTCAATTCCTCCCACTTCCTACAGACAAAGGGGGTAGCCATGGGTACCCGCATGGGCCCAAGCTACGCCTGCCTCTTTGTAGGTTACGTGGAACAATCCCTCTTCCGTACCGACACCGGCCCTAAACCCCACCTCTTCCTCCGTTACATTGATGACTGTATCGGCGCCGCCTCGTGCTCCCACGAGGAGCTCGAACAGTTCATACACTTCACTAACACCTTCCACCCCAACCTTAAATTTACCTGGACCATCTCTAACACCTCTCTCCCCTTCCTGGACCTCTCTGTCTCCATATCGGGCAACCACCTCGAAACCGATATTCATTTCAAGCCCACCGACTCCCACAGCTACCTAGAATACTCCTCCTCCCACCCACCTTCCTGCAAAAATGCTATCCCCTATTCCCAATTCCTTTGCCTCCGCCGCATCTGCTCCCAGGATGAGGCATTCCACTCCCGTACATCTCAGTTGTCCTCGTTTTTCAAGGACCGTAACTTCCCCTCCTCGGTGGTCGAGAACGCCCTCAACCGTGTCTCCC